AATTCATCGCTTATCGTCGCCACCATCAAACGTTTCAACTCTGCATTCAGCTTTCGTTCCAATTCCAGCTGCGATTTCACTTCTTCCAACTCTTTCTTTAAGGCCGTGACCTGCAACAAGATGCAAAAAAAACTGCAAGAATGAGGTTTTATGTATAAAGCCCAAAATGATGATACATGTACTTCCGGTGTTGAATGTAAATTGATGATAACAAATAAATCTTACAGGTGATTACTTACAAGACTAGAACTAAGTACTGCTATCAAACCTTACGTTATGTGCAACACGTCATCTAAATGACAACATCTTATCATATAAGTTGTACAAATGGATGTTTTACAACACAATGCATTGGATCTTCTTAAGAAATCAAGCTCAATAATTTTATAACTGAAGCAATGCATTTAAACGAAATTTGTAAGCATAGATACGAACTTATTTCTTTTCAATGTTATATAAAAATGCTTAGAAAAGGGCGTAGATTAGACTAGCGTACCTCCTCTGACTCCACATCACTTTCAAGTTTTGCTCGATATCTTCTGGCATCTACTAGAATATTATCTTCAAAAGTTTTCTTATTGGAATTTTCATCAAGCATAACTCCTCCATAAGGAATCAAAGTTGGCAGTTTTTGTGGAGCTTCACCTTTCCTGAAAGAACAGTTCAGATAACTTGGATAATCAAAACAACTGGGATTCATGAAAAACTCACCTATCCGGGCTGGGTGCGGCTTTGTACGGCTCCCAGGGGACAAATCGTGGTTTCTTCATTTTCAGCGAATCCTTTGGTGCTGTCGTTACACCATTTTCCATTAGCTTGTCGTCAAATACATTGTCATCATTAAACGCTGCGTGATGGTCGTAAGCATGATATAGATCTATGAGGTCCATACTGGGCCGGTTCTCCTCCAGAGGAGGCAGCCGCGGCTCCTATTAAAGTCTAAACCAGTTGTGCATTTGATCTTGTAGAACGGATGATAGACGGGGAAGACAGCAAACGGATCAAGAACAAGATTGAACGTTCACTATCTCTGCACAAATGCAGGATGGGAGTTGTATCAAGTAAAAGCCCAAAGAAAATTTACGCGATAAGTTTCGAAAGAAAGAGAAAACTGATAAATATAACTTTAGATATAAAAAAAAAGGATGTGCTTACTTACTTAACACATATGGTATCGTTTTTGCATTGGTTCATATATTTTTATACTCAAATTGCTACTTCAAGATGCTATAACATCCCAAATGTAATCAAATCACTCCGGTGAAATAGAGATTGTCAAGACAAGTGAATCTGGTTTCCATTCTTACAGTAATTAGAACAGCCAAAAGCTATCCAGGTATAAATGATTATCTGCTCAATGATCGAATATGCTGCGAAAATTCTATGTAAAGAGAGCGGCAGCGCAAGCGCTTCTCATTAGAGCATTTCAGTTGGAGTCGGCCAATTGGATAAACTCAGTTTCAATTTCTTTTTGACTCAAAATTCTCAGAAACACCACAT